AGTTTCCGCACATTCACGATCATGCTTTGTTCACGGTTTTGAAAATTGATTCTTGATTATTGACTTTTCCTTTGAAAAATGATTTTGATTTCATTTGTTCTGGTTTGCGTCACATAATGACTCAGCAGTCAGCAAACGCAAATTTTTGATTGCATATAAAGTGTTCATATGTTTAAAGCACAAATTAAAAGTTTCCCGCGTCTCTGTTCCAGAAACGAGGCTAAATTTTCATACCCCACACTTTTCGAAATGCTACCTAAGGAAGTCAAATTTCCATTCGATGAAGCTGTGACGCAAACTGAACCGGCTGAAAATTCGAGATTTCAAGGATCGATTCAAGATGATATGGGGCTGATTACTGCAGCACCTAAAACTTTCCTAAAACTTATCAGCAATTCCATCTGAATTCGCACGTCCAATTCATTCAGTTTCTGTGAGTGCACTTGTATATCTAAAACTTTTAATGAGCCACAGCCTCTCACAGAAGAGGTAATGCTAAACCGCCATCTTCTGAGAAATTTGAACGTTTTGGAATTTCATCAGCAAACCAAGAATTCAGCGTACTGTATAAAAGAAATCAAGCGTAGCACTTTTAGCGGATATGTCTCCAATAAACGATGTTTCACAAGTACAGTACAGTATGTGAAGCTGCGGAAATAACGTTCCGGACATCAAAAGCAAAATTCCGCGAAATTCCTCTTGTTCTGAGAAACATATTTTCCAATGATTGACATTATACAGAATGTTTGAAGTGATTGATCCAATTCATAGTCAATTCATTGAGGTGGTTTAGCAATTTGGGTAAAAATTGGATGAAGTGCTGTTGTTGAAAGAAGAACAGGAGGTCGCACGACATTTTCATTATTGGCGATGGTTCCATAACTTCGTGACTACGTGCAATCCTGAATAATTTGCCTTGCAAAAGGCAGACATTTTTGACCTGGATTCCTCTTTTTGCTCTTGGAAATTCTGTCGGATAATAATAAATGATGCACGAAGTGCATGCTGCCTAAAACAATGACTCCATATCAAGGGTTTTACTAGCCATCTTATTCGCTTACTATGGAATTCCCATTAGGATCACTTTGGTTGCTTTCTAAAAATGTTTCGATAATTCGGCTGAGCAAATTTTTGGAAAATTGTATATTCTCGCTATGTGAAATATCACAAAGAAGTGTTCTCTCGACTTTTGGTATGAAAAATGTCAATCCATGTCTATATTTTTTCAGGTTGCAGATTTTGACGCGTAAGTCAAAACAATGACTTCATTTAAATGGGTTTTCCTGCATTTTTCTTTGACAAATAAATCGTTGTCTACCGGATCCCCTTTCTTTTGGCTTTTCGAATTTATAGAATATTCGGCAAAACGAAGTGCATTTAGAAAGTGTTCGTATCTTCACTGTGTGAATTATATTACGAAGTGTTTTCTCGCCTTTTTGTAGATGGAAAATGTCTTCGTGTCCATGTTTGTCAGGTTCCAGATCTTGATGTAGAAAGCGTAGCCAAAAACAATGTCTTTTCATATTGAAGGGTTTTTCTGACATATATACCTATTGATGTTACTTTAGAATTCTTCATACGAGTACTGGATCATTTTTTTCGTTTTTCGAATTCCAAAAAAAATTTGGAGGCACGAAGTTGCTTTAGAAAATGCTCGCAAGTGCTTTCTCGCTTCTTTGTATGAACAAATTTCTTCATGTCCATGATTTTCGGTTTCCGGACATCAGGAGCTTGGCTCTTAAGCTGCGATAAAATGCGCTGGAACATGCACTACTTCTTATGCATCCCAAAGAATCTGCAGAAACCCAGCCTGATGCTTGATCGTCGTCTAGGGAGAAGAAACTGGAGAAGTGAACGACGGTCGGAGCATTCGAGTTTTCACGCGTAAATCCCGCAGGCGCTTGACGCAAGGGACCTTCATTTTTCCCTCCAGCAAAGCGCAGAAAAACGCTTTCCACCATTTTTTTTTTCCAGGCGAAAACAATAACTCGGATTTCCACTTCTTATTGAATCTTGAACCGTATTGCTTTTGCGATATCCCCCCATCCGAAAAAAAATAACCGTCGACTTCCTCATATCATCCCGCAATATTCTTTCCGATTTTATTATGCGAGATCTTGCGAAAACATTTGGATGAGTCTATATCTCCTCAATGCATTTTCCGGCATCGAAATTGAGATCTCTCGATGCCACATGGAGCTTCTTTGTGGATTTGAGAAATTATGCCTTTTGCACGGAAAAAAATGTAGACATTAAAAATCGATCATCATTTNAATTATGCCTTTTGCACGGAAAAAAATGTAGACATTAAAAATCGATCATCATTTCACGATGCGGCTTACATCTGATATTTTAAATCACTCCTTCTTATCGTTTCCCAGAATTCTCCGAAAATCTGATCTTTTTCACCCGTAAAAAATGCCTGTGTTATCCTGCAAGAGATTGTTTGCTTTGCCACAGTTCTGAAAGAAATGTAAAAAACGCTGTGTGATATTCTATTATGTATTGCTGCGCCACTTAATCTTCTTTCTAAGATTGTTCAACCTGAAATGAATCGATAAGTTTTCTCGATTTAACAATCACTGAATGGAAATATTTATTCCTCAAATTGTTTCTCCAATCTCATTTATTAGATACATTGAAAAAGGTTTTCCTTATTGATGTGCTATAGGTTGCGCAAGCAAAAAGGTTCTCATTTTTTTTTTACAGCTGCATGACAGGATCACCGGCTTTCGACGTTCATTTTTGCATGAAGCAGCAGTTACTGATATTGATCACGCCAAAATACTTTGGCTATTTCATAAGATTTGTCTGCGTATTTTACCCCCTTTGCAGAGGCTTGTACAAAGATCAACAGAGTTCAGCGACATTCTTTCGGAGTAAAAATTGAATGCTCAAAAACGGTTTCAATCTCCTTCCACTTTGGGTCGAAATTTAGAGATTACCGATTGAAAAATTTTTTTTCTGTGAAATTAAAATTCACTCTCAAACGAGCATTTTTATATCATAAACCAACAGATTTTAAAGTAAGTCGTAATACTCGTACCTCATATTCTGATCAAAGCCCCCATGAACTAGAAAAAAAATTGCGCCAATTTTAAGTTTTCCTCAAATAATCCTCAAAATTTTTGAGTTGATGAAAAGGAAAATAAGTTGAGCTTGTATGTGTTGACAATTAATTCAGTTTTCAGTTTTCAACCATTTTTAAAAATTGAGATGCATTGAAAAAGGAAATGTAGCCTTGATGCCTTTTCATAAGTTCTTTTTTTCATGATCTTGATCTAAATTCTTGTGTCCTTACAGAACCTTTGAACAAGCCCAATTTTAATTCTTTAGATTTACAAATCATAATTCTCGAAATATTTCGTCAGTTGGAGTGGCATTTAAATTCAAAAAATTGAAGCCGACTGATGGGAACATTCGTTTAGGTATGTTTTAAATCCAAAAAAAGGTGTGATGAAATATTCTTGAACATGAGAGCGAAGAAACGAGCCGTGAAGAAGAATACATTTGTTGCGTATTTGGAAATCATTTTTGGGAAGTATGGGAACGTTTTAATGGGAATTTGACGGATTTATACAGTAATAGAAAAGAAACCCAAAGTTTCGAAAAACCGTTTCATTTTTCGCGAGGTAAACTGCCTGTCGAAGTTCTATCCTGAGGGTACACTATAAACTGGAAATGACAACTTCTCGTGGAACACCAAAAGAACAAGTCGAACGAACGACTTTCACGAACCGGTGAATCGAGTGTCATTTGATCACTCAGCAGGAAGCATTCCATTTTGAGCCTCAGAAATTAATGCAGGGTAAGGGAACACCTTCGGGGCTGCGTTACATAATAATAAGAGAGCCACGCACACACAAAGGGGTCGAAAGGAAAGGGAATTGGACGTTAGTGGCATTTGTTTTCCTGTCCAATTTTGTCAACTCGTTCGGGCGACTAAGCGTTGGGGCGCACTTCGAATTAAATTTGAAAATGAGAAAATTATTATTGGATGGGTGTGACATATGTACATAGCCGAATGCCCTTTCGGACCAAGAGCCTCATGTCTTGCTCGTCTTTCCTAATTAAAATTCACAGGGAATGCATTTTATTGAGTCGTCGGAATTATTTGCATGAGCTTATGTATGGAAGAATATTTCAGAATCATGGAACTGTAATATGGTAGATGCGCTTTGATAATGGTTTGCAAATATTTTGGCTGTCAAACGCGATCTCGAATTCATGCGATGATGGGAAAGCGTCCCAGCAGTTGAAAAGGCCAAAGTTTGAGAGTAATTTCATCTCCCGGGCCAGGCAATGACAAATGGTGAAAAATGGAGTCGAGGAATTAAATGCAAGGTGGTCAGCCCTTATTTGGCTGTGTCCTCATTAGAGGAGACCCTTCAGGCGGCTTGTATATTATCCAACAACAAAGGAACAGAAGAGCCCAGACACAGATGCGGCAATACAAAGCCAACAAGAATACTTGAAAAATGCCCATTAGTCACACAACTCAGACAGTCACAGAGGAACATCAGGTATCAATCCATCAGAGTCCTAGTTCAATCTATGAAGTGATCAAAATGTCATTGAGTGGATTTGGGTTGGGTGGGAAGGGGGTTTGTTCGTGGAAATCTTGATTGAACCTTGTGAATGCTGAAAAGCAGCAAATAAAGTGTTCTGTTCATTCATTCATAGTTCCATCTTCTGGCAGGTGAAACTTTCAAGTGAAGTGTTCCCTGCCAGTTTTGCTCTTTCCTGCCTTCCAAAGCCTGTATTGCCACTGGTTGGCCGCAATGCAGCAGACTGGCCATGCAGTGGGATTTCTGCTTTACACACACACTGTTTTCCCACTCCAATATTTCCCTTAGTCCATGTAGCAACATCTTGCAGGGACCCAACTTTGTCCTCACCTATACACATTAGAAACAGGATCACTTATCTTTGGCAAAAACTATTTGGCTTCTACACTCTGCTGTGTTTTTTCCCTCACTGTGTTCTATATATACAGTGGAACCCTTCTAAGTCAAATTTCAAGGGACCAGCAGAAAAAAATTGACCTAGAGAGGTTTTGAATATTGTATATGCTCTAATAGTAGCCTGATGGGAATCTATTTGATGAATTAACCCGGTCCCCCAGGCATTTAATAGAGACCCGCTGTGAGAATGCAAAGCATAAAAATAAGTTAAATTTGCTCATTCAGTCCCTCTCTTTGTGCTGACTTGCAAATATACTAGAAAGAAGCCCTGCACTGCCAAGAGTTTGTGCATCCCCTGTATCTAGTGACTGGCATACATTATCCAAAAGGTCAGACTCATCTGCAAAGAGGCAGATACCTCACTATGTCTGGTAGGGTGCCCTGCATATGGATGGGACCTGACTATCATTGCTAGAGGTATTCCCTGTCAATTAAAAAAGCATTTTCCAATTATTGTTTGTACATCAGTTACTTGTCCAATCCACAAAGGTTAGTTATGAGTTCTGTGAAAAACGCTGCTGGAAAATGAAAAAAACTTGGAAAATCCAATGTTTATGTGAATAATTTCAAGTTTCTGTGGTTTGCTACTTGCATTGCCCCCGATCCAAGAAAAAAGAATCTTTTGGATTTTCAATGAGTTTTCTGGAAATTCCAGCTCTGCACTAAAAAATTCTTATATTTCTTGTTTCAATAAAATAATAAACAACAGGCCTCAGAAATTCTAACTTACCTAGGTTTGAGAGACAAAGCTTTCCATCAGTTAGTGTTGAGGTTTTTAAAACTTGGGTGACAATGTCAGCATATTTTCACAAAATTATGTGTCACTGAGCACTGGGAATAAAAATATCTGATTTTTTAAAGAAGGCTCAAGTCAGGAAAGTCTACTGTTCTTCTAATCCTGCAGAACATCTTGAATGAAAAATATAAAAATCCTTCTCTGGGTGGCATTTTTTCCTGCATTCCTGGCATAGGATTTGAATGGGAAAATCCTGAAAACAATAGAACATTTGTCTCCCAGATTTTTCATGTCTTGGGCCTTCTCAATCTTGGCACTTTCAGTGACCTTGGGTCAAACTGAAATGCACAACCCCCTAGATTAACACCAACTCAAATGGAAAAAGAACCTTCTAATGTCTGAGGGTTAATGCATTCTTTTCAAGGGAATTCATACAGGGACTTGCAAAAGAATTCAACTTTGGGAGGCATTTGACTTCCAGAGATTTGAGTTATGGTGGTTCCACTGTATATACTCATACAGTATATATTTCCTGCATTTGAAGAACATGGTAATTTCAGACCAAAATAGGGA